GTAACCACAGTGAATGTCCAGAAAGCCTGGTGTAATCACAGTGAATGTCCAGAAAGCCTGGCGTAATCACAGTGAATGTCCAGAAAGCCTGGCGTAATCACAGTGAATGTCCAGAAAGCCTGGCGTAATCACAGTGAATGTCCAGAAAGCCTGGCGTAATCACAGTGAATGTCCAGAAAGCCTGGCGTAATCACAGTGAATGTCCAGAAAGCCTGGCGTAATCACAGTGAATGTCCAGAAAACCTGGTGTAATCACAGTAAATGTCCAGAAAACCTGGTGTTACCATGTTAACCATAATAAGCATGGCAGTAGTGTGTTCTGTGGTGCAGTGGCGTTACCATGGTTTTTTTTAAATATACTGTGTGGTACTTTCAAGCTAACCAGAGTACAGAGTAGTACTTTTTGTTGTTTCCTCCTGCCTGCAGAGGTGACTCTTACCTTGGACACCCCGTCCTCGTTGGCCTGCGCCTTTCTGCGGAGCTGCATGAGCGTCCACATGTCGCTGAGCGCGGTGTCGGACCTCATGAGCTCCGAGGCGCTGGGCAGAGCCTCCAGCGCGCACATCTGCTCCTCCATCCGCCGCAGCTTCTCCTCCATCGCCCTGTAAGGGCTCGAAGTGTCCAGCAGCAAGGCTTTAGTCTGGGCTGGGCTGTCATGGTCGTGGTCCACCTCCTTCCAGGTGGTCGTGACCCTCTCGATCTTCAGGTGTCCCAGGATGGCGTGCAGTAAAGTGTGCAGCGCGTTGAAATTGACAGATCCAACGTCTGGGGTCCCTATGGAGAGATCCACCAGCTCATGCAGGCTTATGTCGGTCGACATGGTCGCCGACTGTTTAGTCCGGTTTAAAAGACGACGAATACGGTTCTGTCTGTTTGAGTTAACGTTACATCTCTCCACACAGGTAGGCTACGCGAGTTCCAATTCTATCTGTTTTCAAACATAAACCCTGAGTTTTAACGCTCTACGCTGTTTTCTCATTTCTGTGAGCATCGTAAAATTATGCTAAGTTATGAAGTAGTGGCGTCTAAAATCTGTCGGCGTTTGTTCATCCTTTAATTCGCACTTTACCGGCAGCTTTGCTTTGCTGAACTGTATCAAGATCGCTCTTCTCTTTACGCTCTCCCCGCCTACCGACGATGCTGATTGGTTAAAATGCCTCGCGTCACTTGTCTTCTCTATCCTCATTGGATAACGTCCCTGTCGATCAACAGAAATTACTTTCTGTTGTGAGCCGCGGCGTCTTGGTTGCTCAGCAACTGCTTCAGCGGCAGCATCGGTAGTGCACGTGAGAGTGGAGAGCGATGAACAGCATCATGCAGATCTACATTATTTATATTTCTAAGGGAAATTATATAGTGTGATGATGATAAAAGGATTTTCTCCGTTTTATTTTCATTACATACTATACGACAACACTGGCCTGCACAAACAGCCAGAGTGTACAAAACATGCATTCATAAATAAAATATTACATATTCACGAAAAAAAACGGAACAAAACAAAATATCAAAATGTATCAAAATAAATCTATCTTTGTCATTATAGACATATAAAAAAAAACTTTAAAAAAACTAAAATAAAAAAAAATTCCTTCATATTCAGATTTTCAATGCCAAGCCCAAAATCGTTATGTACAGTAGTTTATGTTTCTTCCATTTTTATCTAAAAGGTATGTCAGAAATTGTCACAAATGCTTTGCTGCAGATTATATTTACAAGCACATTTGTCCATAGACTTTGATGAGCTGCTGTTTAACCTTATCAAGATTGTTCTTATTAATAATCTACTTATTATTGCAAAATAATGACTTCTACAAGTTACACGGTTTGTTGAGGTCTGGCATATTTCTTACATTAAAGCCAGTGACATGTATGGCCATATATGTCAGATCAGATGTTTATTAAAACGCATGTCACATAAAAACATGCATTATATATAATAAATGTACACTGTAAAAAATGACCGTGAATTTTACGGTAAAAGACTGTAAAAATGCTACAGTAAAAACCTGTTAAATGGTTAAAGGTAAATTCCCCTACTATATACAGTGAAAAACTGTATTGGACATTACATGTATTGGACATTGATTTTACGGTAGTATACCGTTTTTGGAAGTGAACATACCGTATAATTTACAATGAATAACCGTAAATTGACATTCCCAGAATTCCCTGTGTTACATTTCAAATGTGATATTTTTTGTTTAAATAACTATATTTCTTCTTATCAGTTTTGTATATTAGGGTTGTGTGTTACACCTAATGTTGTTAAATGAATGTTTATTGCATTATTTCAGTTCCATGTGTGTTACCGTGATGGTGTTTAGTGTTTGTGTGAATGACACTGTGCACCTTCTATATATGTGATTATTTAAAAGCTGCTTGTGATGGGCTTTGGTTCATCATGTGACTTTCTCATCACCACCTGCATTTGGTGGTTATCGGTGTATTACAAAGGTGCAAAACAGATTTCAGTACTTCAATAGGTTGGTATATTAACATTATATCAGTTAATGAAACTACGGCATTTAACTGTAAATTTAAGTTAAAACCGTAAAATGTTGCAACCATATTTTTTACGGTAAAATTCCGGCAACCACAGCTGCCGTTTTTTTACCGTAAATTTTACTGAATTTTTTTTTACAGTGTAGAGTTTTTTTTATTAACATACATGAAGTTATTTTTGTGGGTGATAAGTCTCGAGCATCAAGATGTTGTAAAGTCCCAAAGAAGTGCTGAAATTTTCATTATGCCAAACTGTGAAGTAGATTGGTATAGTTTATACTTGAAATATTTTATGTTTTAATGTTTTTTTTCTTGCAATTTAAAATAATAAACATGATTCTTACACCATTTATTAGTTCATCTTTTGTTGAAAATGCTAGTTTCCATTTATTATTATTATTTTTAATACATATAAAACCACTGTGAATACAAATATGATATTTTTAAGATCTTTCTAAAGAGCTTTCATCTTCTTGGACATCCTTGTCTGTCATTGTCCCACAACAAAACACTTGTTACTGTAAAACAACTGTATCATATAGCTTGCAAAAAGACATAGGCAAGAGTCAAAAGGCTCAAAAAGGACTTTAATCCCATATATACACATATTTATAAAAGAAAACAGAATATCCAGGTGCCATTACCATTTTTACAGTACGATACATTCAAGTATACGACCAGATATTCTTGTCACATTTTCCCTCATCATCCTATAGATTGCTCTGAACCGTTTTCGCCGTAATAACCTACATGTAGCTCCTACTCCCATGCAAATGAGCTCGTAACATACGTATTGTGAATGTATTAAGAGAGTCTTTCTCAATGCATTGTTATTTACAATGGCATGTTGACTTAAGCCCAGCTTGATATTAGTATAATTGCAATTACAAAAAATGATTCCCATGTCTTTCTTTCTGTTTTCTATCGATTACATCAGCAATCGGTTTCATTGACATATTTGCTCACTTCACACAAACAAGGACAAACCTAAAAAAAAGAAGCACATTTCTAGAGTGCTTCAATCTTTGGCAAAATTGTTTTCTTAAAAAACAAAAAGACAACTGGCAAAATAATTAAAATAAACAAGACATTCTAATTTAATTACTGACTGTGCATTGAGTGTTTCACGCTGATACTGATTTTCTTTAATCATATTTCTCATCTATAGTCTCACAGCGGTAGTGTACATTTAAGTGATTTATTGCATTTGCACTAAGACTTCTTTACAATATCTGAGTTTAAATAGAACTTCAATAACTACATAAAGGAGTAGTTCACCTAAAAAACCCCTGTCTTCATTTACATAACCTCATTTTTGGATTTCATGGAACAAAAAAGCTGAATTTCAGAGGACTCGTTACACATCTCTTTCCCACACAACAAAATTCAAAGTGACCACATCTGACAAGCTCCAAAATGCACCAATAAATATGTCTAATGCACTCTGTCTGATGTCATGTAATCGTTTTCTTTGAGGATCAGACTGAAATTTAGGGCAATTAAGGCCCCAGCTCGCAAATCTCATTCCTTGTATTCAAACTGGTAAGTTGTGTTCGTTTACGACACATACAAAAGACCAATAGAGTTTGGCTGAACCTCATGCAAAGAGTTAAAGTGGCATGTTTGAATGTGGATTTGATTTTAGAGCTTTGACAGGAGGGAAGTTTATCAGCTTACATTTCAATATGTTCCTGAGACAAAGCAATTGTAGGGCTTCGGAAAACTTGTAATATAGTGCATGAGTAGTATGGCATGTTCATGTTTGTTTCAGTGCTTGACATCTGTGGTCACTATGAACGGTCTTTGTGGTGAAACGAGCTGCATGAAGATTCTTCAGAAAACTCCCCTCGTGTTCCACAAAACAACACCCTATGAAACTGAGGATGAGTAAATCATGACAGATGTTTCATTTTTGGGTGTCTGATGGCTGGAGATGAGACGGTCGTTCTGGCACTTCAGTCCTTCTAACTCTTCCTATCAGATACTGTCATAATCAGAGTCCCGTCGACTGCTGATAACGCCCCACTCCACCACAAAGAAAGTAATGGTGCCCAGGAAGCCCGTCAGCACCATAATGAGCAGCTGCCAGTGCAGGAGAAAATAGTTGCTGTAGAAGAAGGCCACCGCAGCTGTGATGGACTGCAGAGACAGGAGGAAGAAATATAACATCATGGGCCATAAACACATACTACTCATACACATACATTTGTCTAATTTTTCATTTATTCTGACTAATAAAATAAAATAAGAACAGACTTAATTTTTGAAAGAACAATCGAAGTTTCTTATTGCGTTTTTTGATATTTGAATGAAATATGACCCAACTATTTTACCATAGGATTTTTACATCAAACTATTTAAATACTTCTGATGCTAACAATTAAACCACTTTAATAAAAGGAAGGTTCAAACCTGAACAAATTTAAAGACTGCGAATGCTGAAGCACTGTCCTCCCGGAACAAGAAGCCCACAATGCTGATGAGCTGAGTGTTGAAACAACTATCACCCAGACCCAGCAGAAAACTGCATATCAGCGCCACAGTCACACTGACAAAACAAGCCAGAAAAGTGTTAATAAACAGCTAGTGCATCTTTATGTCTGACTCTATTCTCACTGCTCATCCTTGTTGGAAAGTCCTGTACTGTAACTTTTATCTCTTACCTGGGCTGGATAAAAGCTTGCATTTGTGTGCCTTCCTCTGGGGCCACGGGAGCATCACTGGCTATGTTGAGGAAGATGAGGAAGAATGCCACTATATGGGTGAACAGGCCCAAAAACACCACCGGGTTTCTGCCGAAACGATTACACTTATCTAGGATCCCAAATACTCCCCCGCCTAGTTAAGCAGAGAAAACAGCTTAATACATTTGCCATGTCCCCAGAGAACTTGAAGCACAATAATTGTAATGCACTGACTTACCAAGTATTTCACCAACACCTATCAGAAATAACGTTTTTCACCAGAGACCTAAATTATAATTCTGTCTAACCATTCAGAAATTATTTTGCATTGATGTTTCTTTTACGGTCTCTTTTTTTTGTATACAAATTAAGCAAAAAATGTCTTTATTTCAACCAATAATTATTGTTACAATAATTTGTGGAGTGATTTCCACCAAAGTGGCTGCCATAGTTTATTATATAAAACATACTCACCTGTTATGTGACTCTTGCCACGCCAGGCAAAAAATATGTAGAGATTACCAAAGAATAAGCTGTGAATAAAAGAGAATCAATGAATCATTGTTCCTCGTGTTCTCTTTTTCCTTCCACACATACTTAATGACAAGATGTACCTAAACTGCATCAATGCCCAAAATATTCCACTGTTTCTCCCAATGGTGGAATCTTTGGAGTTGATGGTGAGCAGATTCCCCTGGGCTGTCCAGAGCACTGCAAGACACAAAGTTAGCAGAAAGCTTTAGCGAGTGTGTGATACAAAATATGATTTCATAACTGAGCCGATAATGATATCGCACCTGCAGCGGCGATTCCAAGCAACACAGATAAAGTGTAGAATGACGAGGTGTACGGATGAATGAAAACAGCAATATAACCACTAAAAGAGAGCACAGATTAAGGCTTTTTAATAAATACTTTATCATAAATTACTAATTTATTACTAAATTACTACTACTATTACTAAATTGAGTCCTTTAGGCATTTACCTGTAAACAAGTCCACTAAAAAACAAAGACAACTGAGGTCCAATGACAGCTATCACCGAGGGCGCTATAAGGTTAGACGCAGAGAATACGGCGTAGATAATCGCCATGCTAGAAGAGAAGTATGAGAAGCATGTGTTAAGGGTGGTATTTTAATTAATAGTGATCATCAAAATAAATACAATATTACTAATTCATTGTGTTTTATAGAAAAAATATTAACCCAATACATCTCACATACGTACACACCTCAAAAGAATCAATATTAATATGCATTCATAATACAAAAATGATGAATCAGTTTTTTTTTAAAAGATTAATACAGTTCATTAAACAATTTAAATATTAATAAACAGAGCAATTCCAAGAGGGTCCTCACATCATTGCTGCTCTGACCCCATTTATATATACTTATATACTATATTATACTATACTTATATATACCCGACTTGTATATACACTGTATATTTCATAACCAGTGTTACAACTACCCTAACATCACAGTTATGATAATATCCTGATAAAGTCACACCAGATAAAGTATTAGCATGTCATTCATGTTAATTTTTACCACCCCCCCACCCCCTCCACACACACACACACAATCCCCCCCCCCTGTGAGGGGGATGGATTATCTCGGCAAAGGAGAAGTGCTCACCAACACAGATTTAGACAGATTTGTGAACAATATTTGAGAGAAATAGGCCTTTTGTGTACGTAGAATATTTCTCTTCAATCACAAATAAATAAACAAACAAATATTTAGGAAAAATGATCAAATTTCTCAGGGAAAAAAATGTAGTCTGTGCCGAACAAGTGTCATAACTTGTCACATGCTAACCGCATTCCTTTCTCTCTCTCTCTCTTTTTTTTGAGAGCAGACAGTACTTCTTTGTTACATAACCATGGTCAATGTGATTACTGAGGTCAAAGAGAGATTCATTAGATTACAGCACAACATCAGATGACCCGATTTTCATCTTTAACTCAGTCATCATAAATCTCATTCAAAAAGGGTGCAGAGGCCAAAACATGTCACATGACCTGAGCAGAAATAGAGCACAACCCTGGGATTCTGAAAGTAAAAATCCTGTTCCTTGTTTATACGCGTTTGTGGATATTTGACAAGACACTTCGATTACAATTTTTGTATCATTTTGAATAAATTCCTATATTAAGTTTTATGTAACTGCCCTTTTTTTTTATGTCATTTGCAATGCTTATGCAATTAACGTCAAGCGCACAGTCTTGCAACTTTATATACTTTACATTTTTTTAATACCCATTGAAAAAAAGTGAACGAGAAAGTTACTTCTGGCACCAAGGCCACTGAAAAAGTGGGTGGCCACCATTGTGCTCTAATGACAGAAGGAATAAATGAAGAAAACGAATACCTTGTGTAGCCACTTCCATGAAACTCTGTACTGTTGAAACTCTTTATCACGGTTTGCTGGAAAAAGTGAAACTGTTGGTTTGCATACAGGCAAATCTGATATGATAGCATTCATCAGATCATGCATTAAGTCTGAAAAAGCTCAAAACCTACTTCAATGTTCCCGCAGGTGCCAAAGGCAGTAAAAATAACCATGAACCCCAAGCCCAGGATAATGATGTTGAGCAGGGTCTTTCCTTCTGGACTCATGTTGGCTTGCAGTCTTTAGCTCGATGACAACCTGAGACTAGTGAACACACAGACGCATCAAAGTCAAGTGGCACCTGACACAACTGCTTAAAAACGTGACCATGCTATTTTTCATATGCTGCATATGATCACTGCTTCCTCATGAGACCAAACAGCTCTGAAGGATGTTCATTTGTACAGTTATTGTACTACATGTGTGATGGCAATAAATCATGTGTTTCATTAAATAATGCATTTTTAGTAAATGATTAGTCATATTATTTAGGCTTTTGAATGGAGACGGAGTGCAGTAGTAATTGCAAACTTACCGACTACTTGGGTGCGCTGATGTAAACAGCTAATTCATAATGTGAACACCTGTTGATCAAGGCGATTTCGGGGTTATGGGGAAAACAACATTTAGTAAAGCTGGTAAACGTAAAAATATATATATATTTGCTTCCGACTTCTCGGAAACGCTCTGCCTGTCTCTGAAATCAAAAATGTCTGTCATGTGACACCTGTCAGCTGACGGTGACGTCGTCCTCCTCCACGAACGGATTTGTGGGTAGTGTAGTTTCCCCGTAGGTGAGTACTTGAGGCACTGAGATAAACTGGGACATTTACTGTTGATAGATATTCATTAAACATATTTAAAAACATATAGTTAGTAGTTTGTATAATCTGTTTAAGTTAGATGTAATTTTTAGAGTATCTCTTAATTTGCTTTGTTGCTAGTCAGCAGAGCAACGTACAAGCTCTCACATATAGTCCTAATTTAGTGAGCTATATTAATAAAAACAACAACAGAGGGTTCAAAAAAAAAAGTCCTATAGCCTAATCTTTATTCAAAATAAATGAAAAGGTATACGCCTTTAAACTTATAGATTTTACGCAACAATCATTACTTACAGAAAGTTTCAAAAGAGATGAATATAAACGGTATTTTCTGAAAATAACAAGTCATCAAACCAATCTTTAAAAAGCTTTGTGTTTATTTTGGCTCGCACGTATTTACAAGTCAATTTATCACAGTTATATTGTGATTTAAGATACAGAAATGTGCAACAATCAGTCTTCCAAAATGGGACTCTCACTTTTATGGGAAAATATATATATTTTTTGGCTTCACTGAATATTCTAGAGAGGATTAAAATGCTTTTGTTTAATTCGTTTAATTATATATTTTGACCAATCGTCACATTCACAAATGCAACAAATGCAAAACGCAGTTTATTTTGTTGACTGTTGATATTTTATGCCCCATTCTTCCTTTTTTCTGATCTTTATATTATTAAGAAATATTCTTTCTTTCCTTCATTTTATGTATTCTTTTAATTTTGTATACATACTTGTATAATGTTCAGTATCTGCATTTGAACGAAAGTGCATGTAAAATGTTTATTCAATAAAAACCCATTCGAATGCTTTTCTATGGCAACACTATCAACGCCTAGGTGGTCAGGTGGTACAGCAGTCACGTGGTACAAGTCAGAAAACTCCCACCAGTTCACAAGTTGTAATTACGAGACCGTGAACGCTTTTTACAAGTTGGAAACGCCATATGAATGCACCTTCTCCTCCGGCTTTTAGAACTACAGAATGCGCCATTTTGTGAGTGTGCATGCATGCGCGCGCTCATTGTTGTGCTAGCGTCATCGGCCACTGGTGTTGTTTTGCTACTCCATATCAATCGCATACAAAGAAAATACAGAATAATTAGAACAATCATTAACATAAATAACAGAGTGTCATATCTATACACATTTTTCCCAGAACTTTCTTGCGACCCGGAAGCAATTCTTCCACGGCCCGGTAGTGGGTCTCGACCCGGTGGTTGGGGACCTCTGGCGTAGATCACCACTATCTTTCTTTCATCTCTTCTGATACATTTTCAGTCAAATCGTTCTATGTGTGCTAGGTCAGAGCCAGTTTCTTATTCTCCTCATAACTGAAAAACTTATTTCTGTAGCCGAACTAGAGCCCTGCTTTTTTACGCCCCTCGGGCCGGGCTTCGGGCCAATTTTCACGTCATAGTTCAGACGCGGGCCGGGCCTCGGGCCTGTTTTAGGCTTCTCCTTATTTTTATATTTTAGACATCCATCAATTAGTGATGAAAAAAAAAATTGCCGCCTGGTGGAAACAACATGAGACCGTGCTACCGCGACTGAAAAGAGCGGCTCAACGGTGTTTAGTGTCCCGCAGCAGAGTTTGTGCCAGCAGTGTAGCTGAACAGTTCTGCATTCAAATGCAAGCAATAGGCTAAAGCTTGCCGCAAAGCATCGGCAAAAAGTAATTGCCACAAATGTGACAGGGGGAAATAGTAAGGATATATTTGAGTTATTTGCTAATAAACTAGTGTTTTCTGAGTCGGTGTGCAAGGATGAAGTTGCCGGCAGAAAGTGCATTGTGTTTGTTTTCTTTATTTTAAAGAATATTTAAAGAGTTCCCCCCGGAACTGCTTCCGTGTACAACTGTGAGCGCAAGCTAGATTAAAGTGATTATTACGTTTTGAATATGGATATTTTTCTTACAAAAACTCATCGATTCGCTACAGGAGTCCTTTGTTCTCCCCCTGGAGTCATGTGAGACACTTTTTTTTCTATGCATGGGCGCTTTTTATTTAACTGCTTTTGGACTGAAGCAATGCAACACCCGCTGAGTGGCATTAAACAGCTTGAAAGATCAAAGACAATTTTTTAATATAACTCCGACTGGATTCGTCTGAAAGAAGAAAGTCATATACACCTAGGATGACTTGAGGGTGAGTAATTTATGGGCTAATTTTCATTTTTGGGTAAACTAACCCTTTAAAGATTCTTCTGCTCATCAAGGCTGCATTTATTTGATCAAGAAAACTGTAAAATTGTGAAATATTGCAATTTAAAATAGTTGTTTTCTATTTTATTTTATTTTAAAATATAATTAATTTCTGAATTTTCAGCTTCATTGCTCCAGTCTTCAGTGTCACACAATCCTTCAGAAATCACTCTAATATGCTGATTTATTATCGATGATGAAAACAGTTTTTGCTGCTTCATATTTTTTTTTGGAACATGTGATACAGGGATACAATTATCAGGATGCTTTGATGAATAAAAAGTTACAAAAGAACAGCATTTCTTGCAAAAGACTGAAGCAGCAGAAACAGTTTTCAACATCGATAATAAATCAGCATATTAGAATGATTTCTGAGGGAACGTGACACTGGAGTAATGATGCTAAAAATTAAGCTTTGATTCACAGGGATAAATTATATTTAAAAGTATATTAAAATAGAAAACAGTTATATTAAATTGAAATAGTATTTCACAATTTTACTGTATTTTTGATCAAATAAATGCAGCCTTGATGAGCAGAAGAAAACATAAACATAAAAAATCTTACTGATCCCAAACTTTTGAACGGCAGTATTTATATAAATATAAATATATTAAAAATAAATGTAAAAACATTAATAATAATCTATAATTATACTCTCTTTGGATACATAATGTTAAACTGTTGCAACACTAGTTAAAAACAAAAAAGTATTAAACACATTTTTACATTATAAAGACCAAGAAACTTTATAAGACCAGTATTATAATTCTGATTCAATGAGACACATGAAGCCATTGTAAATTTGACCATTATGAGCACGTGTGGGCGGACGTCATACTGCCTGGCTTGTGTAGTCATAAGACCTGAGAGAACACAAAACTGTGGTCAGACATGTGATGAAACGTGTGAAAACATGGAAATGAAAGAAGGAAACAATTACACAAAGCACACAGTCTCTGGGAAACCAGATGATAAGGGCAGTTAACCGTAACACAAAAATTACACATTTTATACAAAATTCATTATATTTACAAAAAATAAATGTATGTGTGTGTATATATATATATATATATATATATATATATATATATATATATATATATATATATATACACACACATACATTTATTTTTTGTAAATATAATGAATTTTGTATAAAATGTGTAATTTTTGTGTTACGGTTAACTGCCCTTATCATCTGGTTTCCCAGAGACTGTGTGCTTTGTGTAATTGTTTCCTTCTTTCATTTCCATGTTTTCACACGTTTCATCACATGTCTGACCACAGTTTTGTGTTCTCTCAGGTCTGTCTCATCGTGGGGCGATTCTACATGCGGGACCTCTGTTGGAGCCTGAGGAACCTCGGATTGAAACCCCTGAAACCTACACAATGGCTACATGGGCCTAAAGTCATTATGACTGATTGGCATATTCTAACTGTTCGGTAGTTATACAGCCCTTTGTTCTTTGTATACATTGTTCCTATTTTCAGTGAGGTTTTTTTTAAACGTGCATGTCCTTTTTAATTCGTTGAGTAGGACGAGCATCACAATTCTATTGGCCCTTTAAGGTAAAGCTGTTTGGGTGATGGTTCAGAATGTGCTAGCTGCACCTCGATTGTGTCGCTTTTGTAAGACGCTGTATAGAAATTGATTTAGATTTGGCATTTGTGTTCAAATTTGCTTTAATTTGCCAATGCTTCAAATTGTTGTTGTGCTTTATTTTGAAATGGTTTGGAAATAGTATGAATAGCTTGTGTTCTTATTACTGTATATTACAGTCCTGCTGTTAAATCTTTTTTTTTGGTGTGTAATATTTGGATTCTAATCTTGTGTATTTTTTGTGCACTAGGCACTGTTGAGTTTTGCCGGTTAGCTGTTAAGATCCGGTGTTGCAGTGCTGAGTGCTTGGTTGTTTCCAGTTTTCTCCAGATTTCAGCTGTTGGAGGTGTGGCCAAGGTCAAGCAACATCTGCAAATACATTTTTGGTGGCATAAATGCTGTCGTCTTACAAAGTTTGTTTACTTTGTACCGCAATTTGGAAAAATTTGGAGTATCTTAAACTATACGATGAACTTTGTTCTGTCGCTTTATTTTTGGATCTTCAATAAATCAAATATTAAATCCTTACGTCTTAATGTCGTTGCAAAATGTGCTTAATTTATTGTGTATATTAGCATAATTTCTAATAAACATTTTGAAGTGGAGGAGGAAAATGCAGGGCAGAACTTTATCAGGTCATGATGTAATGTGCTGGATGGAGTTGGAAAGAATTGGAAAAAGATTTTCAGATTATATACAAGTTTATGAAATTCAAACACATGCATTAAAACACTTGTCTTGTTATAATCATCATTTGTACAGTATGATTCCCTGGAAGCGTTGATCCAGCGAGATGGTTTTTGTTTGCATCAAATGTTTCTAATGGAACATTAATGCACTTCAGATCCCACTTATGTAACAAGGCATCTATGGACCAGTCCGCACTGCAAGAAAAGAAATGGGGGGAAAAAATGCATTGGTTTTTAAATGGGCATTATGGATGATGAATAATTGTGAATGGAGAACCCTTTTAATATCCTTATCAGTTCCAAACTCTATTTTTACAAGATTCCTTCAGGTGTTAAATAGTCTTAATTCGTCCTTCCACAAATTAAGGCCTTATACAGTCTTAACCCTTGTGCGTCAATTAAA